CTTTTTTGCTCGACTTGGCGGGGGAACTGCCGTGCCCCCAGATATGCTGACCTAAATCGCAGTGCAATAGGATTGTTGTTAAAACTTCCTCGGCTTTTATTAACTGTGAAAAATATTCCAGATGATCTTGGTTGATCTTATATAATGGCAAGTATTGTAAAAACTTTTTTTAATGTACTAATATTTTGTAAATATTAAGTATGCTATGAATAAATAGCTCAATAAATCCAGTTCTACGTCAGGACATTACTAAAAGTTTTCCTGAAAAAAAGATGCAGCCCATTGATATAATCTAAAGTACTTTGTTTCATCAGTATGTAATTTATAAATGTAAGGTCATCCGGGTACTATTTATATAAACTCTGATAGTCAAGCAGCACTGCTAGCGCTGAGGTCAAACTTAGTGAACTCGAAGCTAGTTGGAGACTGCGTGAACCGTTTGAACGCCCTGAGATGTAACAACAGGGTCGTCTTAAGATGGGTTCCCTGTCACGCGGGTATTGTACGCAACGAATTTGCCAACAAAGTTGCACGGGAGGGCTCAAAGTGTACACAATTTGAACCCGTGCCATTTGTGGAATTTCAAGAAGCCTACCCAGATTTTTTTTTTATAGAAGAGGGGGCAAACGAGCATGTGGCTCACCTTATGTTAAGTGACTACCGCCACACATGATCAACCGCAACACCAGGGGAATTGCAGGTGCGTTGCCGGCCCTTTAGAAAGGAGTAAGCTCGTTTCTTGAAGGTCACCTCGGTCGTATCGGTCCGGAAAAATCGCCGGTGGTAAATTATTCCACAGAGAGGTTGTACGCGGAAGAAAACTCCTTTGACCCTTGAAACTCTTATCACAATAAATCACTTAAAATCTGGTGTGACACGCCAGTCTTAAAACATTCTAAAACCTTAATCCGGGCTTTTCATCGTAAATTTGCTTTAGAAGCTCTGAGATTAAGTAAAAATAAATTGTGCATTCTGGCAAGAGTCCTATCTGGACACTGTTGTCTTAAATAGCACATTTCCATCCTGAGACTAAGCAACTCAAGGGCGCATCAGGGCCCTTGGGAAAGAGGGAAGAAACGCCTCTGTACATCCTAACTGATTGCGGACCCTTAATGCGCAAACGTAACACTCATCTGAGACGCGCTTTGCGGGTTGCAGTCGTTGGTGCTTTATACAACTGCATACTGTGGTAGGATGCATTATCCATGACGAGAATGGAATTTTCAGGCAGATTTGGTATTAGTTTTTCTTTTAAATATTTCGTAAAGTTATTACCATCCATCTCGTCATGGTAGTCGCCTTTTTTTTATTTAGCTTTAAATAATAATCCTGCGCCCTCCACAAACCCATCCTCTGAGCCGGCATGAACCATCACCCACCTTTGTCCAGGACTATCATTTTTGCGAACGCCTTTTTCGGTGGATGACTGCCAGCACTTGCTGACAGTATAATGGACATGGATCCACGACTCATCTATATATACTACTTTCTATTTTTTCGCACCCATGGCATCATTTTGTCGAAGGCGGCGTAAATATTTAACTCGCCACGCTTTTATATTATCGCGCTCTATGAGCACCATTCGGTTCTGGCGGTATTTTTTAAATTTAAATCCGAGATTTTCTTTTAAAATCTTTCTTAATGTGGTTTTGGAGCCTTTATAGTTTCATTCAGCTTTTGCTGACGCTAGAATCTTGTTCGGCGTAGGTACCTCCTTTCGAACGTCGTATATTAAGGCCTATTTCTAATGGCACATATATCGAAGTTGTCCATGGTGACACGCGTATTATTTTTGCCATTTCTGCCCTTACTCGTCGTACGGAGCTTGGTGTTTTTCTGTTTGTTCTGCAAGTTTACCTGAAATAAGAGTAAAATATTACTATTACTGTCAGTTATCGTTGTAGAGCGACACTGAACTTAGTCATAATCGCTGCCAAAAGGACTCGTTTCCAGGCCGAAAGCTATTTATATAAAAACCACACTCGTTTTCAGGCCTGAAAATCTATATAAAAATCATACTTGATAGAGGTAAGACTAATCATCTTAAAATAAATTGATTTATCTATCTATCTTGGTCACGCCCATAAAGCAACCGCGTAAAATAATGTGTAGGTATCATGTCATTACCTTCTTTCTTTATTTTCGATATAGTAGCCATCGATAAATTAGTCACAATCGCTGCGCGTGCGGCGCGATACTTTAACGGATGATAACGCTTCTTCTAGTTCTTCTCTTCGTCAAAGTATTTAATAACGTTGTAAACAATGTCACGTGCATCACTGTGAAGAATCTTTCCACGTTTTCGTGAAGCCATTGTTCAATCAATCACAAAATGTCAACGTTCGTAACAAGAACTTAACGAAAATAAATAACAATCAAACGTAACGCAAACAAATAACAATCAAACTCAACAAAAACAACAATGAATATCATCGAAAACAACAAAATAACGGAACGAATTTAACGATAACTCGGAGTGCGTCAAGTAGCGTGGAAAGCGATTCTTGACTATTTTTTTTTTTTGTAGCGCGTATTTCACTGTTTGAGTATAGACTACGTTAGTACTCTTATTAGTTTGTGGTATAGACAGCGATAGAGAGTGAGCTAGAACGCATGCGAGCGGACGCCATTTTCAGATCTATTCTCTATTTCAACTTTTGTCTATACAATTTTTATCGTCTAATTCTTTTATGAATGACACTTTTAGCTGAGTTAAAAAGAGATAGGCAACGTATTGATAATTCAATGTCGAATTTAACCATATTTGTATAACTTATAAATCATATAGACACTCTGGGCAGCTCCTCTATTTTCTACGTAGTGATATCTAGTATATACACAGTAATCTATGGTAGTGATTTTATTTATGATGCTTATGCCCCTATTACACTACTCTGAATCAGGGCCTGAATAAAGGGTGGGCGTGGCCCCTAGTTAGAGTGGGCAGTTATTACAAATTTTATTTATTATTTTTTTATACACTGATTTTACGCCGTAACTCATCATAGAGACAGGCAAGTGAAAAATATATATCGATATTTTTAAAAAGAATCAATATAATATATCGCGTGATAAATATCGATACATCGTCATGTTTTGCATGATGTAGTAGGGTAAAAAATTAAATTTTATTAATGGACGTTTGACACATAATTGATTTTGTTGTTTAAAGCCTCATTTACATTCAGCCCCTGCCACTGCTCCTCGCGCTGCCGGCAATACTATTCTAAATACTGCCGTAGCAGGATCGCGGGAAGTGTGTATTCACACTCTACTCACATCGCTTTCGGCTTTCGACTATGGCAGACGTCAAAATAATTACAGCGTCCGCACTGTGTCTTCTTGCAATACAAATTTATGTTAATAATTTAAAAAGATATCAAGTTCAAATGAAGATAGATAGATACATAGAAAATTTATTAGCTTAAAAACATGGTACATAAGATGATCAATGACGTGGAACTAACATGTTTTGCCATAATTGGCATGCAAAAATGATATGAAATACAGCTAATTACACAAACCCAATGTTATATTTTAAAATTATTGCATTGCTTAAAAGTTAGGTGCAAACATTCTTTTTGAATTAAAATATTATGTATTATTAATGAAATACTTATACAGATCCACTCTATTTGAATTCTTATACAATAAATTGTTCATAAATTATTAATTGAATTATTACATTATTGTTACATAAATAATATTAAATATTATATGAGATTAGTTAAGCTATTATTATTTTAATAATTACACTACAGTAACTGCTAACTCGAGTTGCGTGAAATTTAAGTCGAGTTAACTCGAGTCGTAATTTTTTGCCGTGCCGAGTTGGCACATCTAAATATGGTTGTATATACAGAAAGTGACTATAATAGACATAAATAATACTATAAAGTTAAAATCTTTTTATTTTTAATTGCAACGTTCAATTTATGTTACAAAAATTATAATAAAGAACTTAACTAAAATATTAATTAAGATTATAATATTTACGATTAAAACTAATTATATACAATATAAAAGAAGAAACTATAATATAGAAAATCTAAAACTAAAAATTTTAATCGTCAAAAAGACCTACTCCCCGTGGTATAGTGCCAAGAACGCTGGCTGCGTTTTCTCGCTGAATAGCTATACTTAGCCTTTGAGCAGGAAAGAACCAGCCCTCTTATCACCAGCAGCGACAACCAGTCGTGGATACAGTTCCTTTAGAAGCTTCATTGCACGTGGACCCCACGGACCGATAGTCTCTACAGCAAGTGGAACAAATATGTAGTCATTTCTCAAAGACTCATATTTGCGCCATTTACTAAATTCGGCTGCCTCTGATGCCGCCCCGGCTCTAAAAGAGATGAGAGGCCGCCAAAGTGTCAACGCAAGTAGCATGCCACACTAGGGCTTTACCTCTCTACCAAGGGACCAAAGTCATACCGTCGGGTCTCTTGCCATCGTCTCTAAATATCCCGCAAGGCTCTAAAACCGAGGGGATATTTATAGAGACAAGAGCCCTTCGGATGATTTCGTTCAAAGAACCGTGACGGGAAAACCTACCAGATACTATAAAGTGACTATTATAGTATTATATATGTGTATACTATATTATATCTTATATTGTCTATGGTCACAGATCTATGAACGGGAAATCACATTCACACCACAGAGTACTTTTTGTATATCTGAAAATTCACATTTCACACCATAGAGGAAAGTTGACATCCTTGAAATCACACTTTCGCAGCTTTGGACCTACTCGGACCGTCGACGCAGTCGGGCAAATTACCTTATTCATAATTCCGCCTTCTGCCTTCTTCTAGCAGTATAACCAAGTGTAACTGGTAGCTAACATAATCTGTACAATAATTTAGTTCTGTGTTGATAGCATTATTCAAAAAGTTATTGTTAAAGTATAACTCTTTGTAGTTTGTTTATTTAAGAAGACTCAGGAAGAGGAATCCTTGCTGCAGCCCTAATTAATAGGAAAGTTGCACTCAGTCGCAATGTCCGAATTTCAACAATCAAACAATCAAATGAAAATCAAACAATCAAATGAAGTTGATGTGACTTTGATGGAAAAAATAGTTTTGTTTCTCGGTAAGTAAATATTACTGCTATGCATGCACTTCCCATACGTACCCATAGTAGCATGGGGAAAAGGTATAAATGATAAACATCACAACGCGCGGTTTTCTCAGTCTTAATTTTTGTTATAAATTTGTTTAAATAATCTTTGAAGTTTTGTATTTATGTGTTTTTTCTAAAGTTTGTATATAATATATACTTATATAACTTTTTATCGAATACCTGAGGTTGCATGCAATTTAGAAGTTTTAAAATAAATGGTGAATCAGTTAAGGATACTATTATTATTATTTATACATAAACACACTAGCAGCTAAAAGCTGATGCATGTGCATCTTAATGTTTGGATGTTTTATCCAATCTGTTCTTGAAGGCATTCAATGTAGAAGCATCAATCACATTTTGCGGTAGCTTATTCCACTTGGTGACAACACGATTTGTTATAAAATTCTTCATAGGATTCCACTTGGCAGCCCTATGGCAAAGTTTAAGTTGATGTCCTCTTAGACGTTTGTTGCTATTTAGTAAGTACAAATTTGGCAGAGATGGAACATTGTAATATCCTGTCAGTATTTTGTATGTTTCAATCAGACTACCTTTCTGTCTACGGCACTCTTATGTTGTGAGGTGTTATGTGGTTAAGCTTTTTCATTTGCTGCTCATATGTCATGTTTCACAGTTGTTTTACCATTTTATTCTTTTTATATCTTTAGTATAGTATTATACCTTTATGAAAATACAGGTTCCATATTGCACTGATACACACAAATAGATTACTGTGTATATACTACAGAGTTATTCCATAAAGGTTTGTCAATCGAGAAACATGACAAGCAGTGACAGTGAGGACGAATTTATAAAGTTAGCAGCAGCTGCTTTACATTGTCCTCCAAAAAAAAGTGAAAAGGAGTGTTTGGGTCCATGATGTTAATGTAAAACGACTCGAGTATGATGAATTTCATACATTGTATCCAGACTTACAAAAATATGATAAACATTATAAAATGTACTTAAGTAGAATGAATTTATAGTGCTGCAGTCTGTGGTTATATAGGCATTCATGGCCATAAACACATGCAATTGATTTTTCTTCATCACATCGCGAGCGCAGTTGGTTTGCTTGTGACACTCAAAATGTCCATGGATGCATCCCATGTCCCATTCACACTGTCCGTGGATGCACAAACATCCAGCTGGCTAGATTCTGTTTGGACGTCTGAACGCTCAAGAGCGACGCAAGGTCATATCCGCGTCTTACGACCGATAGTTTGCACAGTGTAGTATTAAATGTACTGGCTAGTTTTCAATAAGCCGTGCCTGTCAGCTGCGGCTGACGAATACGGATGGATAGTTTGTTCTGAGCTTACGTATATGTAACGAAACTATCTCAAAATGGTGGTGCTCTGCCGAGTGTGACGCGGCACAGTCCTCACCCAACGAATTCTTTGATCCCTCAGCTATCAATTGGTGTAATTAAATAATAATATAGATAACATATATGTATCTGTAACACCATCTGTACCCCCTGATTTTCTTATCATATTACTACTACTATATCAATTTTATAATTGCCTCCCACTGGAAGTAAAATTTCAAGACATATTCATTTCAAAACAGGGGCGATCATTCTATCGCACAAAATGATAAGATGAAACTGCCTGTTAGTGTAGCAACGAAAATAATATAGACCTATCCAAAAACCACACAAAGCTTTATCAGAATAGTGATTTTTCTTATTATATTGAACATGTACAAAAAAAAAACATCTGCACTCTTTGATGGTACCTCATTCCATTCTGGTTTCATTTGATAAATTCATAATTATTTGATTGCATAGAATGTAGGTGTTACAAAATTATTATTAAAACATAGTTCCATTACATGCCACCTTATTCAGGCATGCAGATTTTAAATAAATATTTATTACACAATTATTTTTGTTAACATTTGATGAATGTTTTTTTATATAATATAAAAATGTCCAAAAATAATGATATAAATGGCGAAAGATTCAGTAGGAAAAAGAAGGTCACACAAACATTTATAAATTCAAATATAAGTAAACCATAATAAAAAAATCATATGTAAATACAGTAAAAATAAAAAAGGAAAAGTAAAGTAAAGTTACAGCCTATATACACATCCCACTGTTGGGCACAGGCCTCCTCTCGTTTCTGAGAGGGTTTCTTCGAACATCAAATTCTTATTTTATTTACTTACACCAAAAGTAGCTAGCAATTTATATACAGATATCTAAATATGTAATTTGTTTTGATTTTTATGATTAAGGTACTCATTTCTACTCACTTCCCAAAGAATTGTTTTAAAATTATCATTAATGGAAGCATTAAGAAAATTGGTAGAAACAGAATATCATTGGTTTTGTCTAGTATTTTTTACATCAATTCACAACTTTTACTACTGCCTCCAGAACTGCAGTTGGCATCATGTGTTACAACATAAAATTTAGCTAATGTTAACAAAATTGTTTTTCACAAGTAGGGTAATTTGTCAATATTGAAATAATATTGGATTGAAATTGTACTTGGATTAAAGAGTAAGCATATAGGGCAGCGTCGCATAGGTATGAAATGAAATTTTTGACAGATTTCATATAGCAGATATCAAGGGAAATAAATATGTAAGAAAAGTGTAGAGATTAATGTTTCTTTCTAGAATATGTATTATATTTTTTTATGTAAACTATTGACCCTTACATTAGAACAGGATCAAAATGCGGACTTAATGCTAAAAGCATTCTCTGCCAGTCAACCTTAGGGCAGTGATAGAATTATGAAGGCGGTTACATTTATACATACATACATATATATATATATATATATATATTATATATGTGGCCGTGGTAGGAAAAGGGGAGATCTCCCGCCGGGCAAGGTGTTCTGCCCGGGGAGCGGCCAACACTCCGTATGATAATTCGGAGATGTTCTATATATACTGTTTATGATTCGGAATGTTGATAGCGCGATTTAGGCTTCGGTGTGTTTTCGCTTGTGGCGGCGACGACAGCGCTGCTACATCACCCCCGCTCAGACCGGAGGTCGTTAGTGCAGCCTTGTTGCCGACGCATGTGCAAGTGCCAGTGGATTGCCTTGTAGTCTGCGGTGAGTCGAGAAGAAGGCAAGTAATCTGCGAGAGTGCCGTGAAGCAGAGGCGAGCAGTAAGGCTCAGAGCCGTGCCGAACACTGTATAGCGCAGAGAGTAGCTTGAAGGAAGCATTATTATTCCAATGCTGCGATGAACCTTGTGAAGCTAGATGGCTTGCAGGATAGGAAGACTGCAGTTTATATCTGCTCGGGAGCGAATGGGTGGGGTATTCTATGACGATGATGAAGCTTCAAGTTTCCGAAGGTTGTTGGTTGCGTGTTCAAATTACGTCGGGGTCACCACTGTGGCCGTGGAAGGAAAAGGGGAGATCTCCCGCCGAGCAAGGTGTTTTGCCCGGGGAGCGGCCGACACTCCAAGTGATAGTTCGGAGATGTTCTATATATACTGTTTATGATTCGGAATGTTGATAGCGCGATTTAGGCTTCGGTGTGTTTTCGCTTGTGGCGGCGACGACAGCGCTGCTACATATATATATATATATATATATATATATATATATATACATTTAAAAATATACACAAATATATATAAAACATATAATATAAGATGTATAATGATACATAATATACAGAGATTGCAACTATAATTAATGATGACAGAGCTTAGCAGTTACAAAGCAATTTTAGAAAATGAGCCCGAACATTCAAATCATCATTCATCTTAAATGTTTGTTTGCAGGTAGGTTGTCTTAATTTTTCAGGCAGGTCATTCCATAGGTGTGTGGCTTGGACTGTAAATGATGAAGATATGAAACTCGATATGTATATTACACTATATTGATTAGATTATAAATAGATGAACTAAATTTATATAATATTCCTGAAAGTAGATGTATTAAAAAAAGGTTAAAAATTAGTAAAAAAATTAAGAATACAGCATTGAAGCATTGTTTTGTGTAGGTATGTAAATACCTACAAATAAATATAGATGATAATACTGAGACCATCTGTGTAAGGAAAAGTTTACCTTAGTCCAAACTGTACATCCCATTCAGTATATCTGGTGAGGCTAAGATTATAAGTCCTTATTTATTCACAAATCACACCACTTTAGCTACACTGAAACTTAATGCCTTCATTTCAATTTAATATTACAAAAATGGGATTAGTTAGAAGAGAACTATTTGAATTGTCTTCTGATGAAAACAATATGTATCCAAACAGGTTGTGGTAGCCCTAAGCATTGCAGATTGATCCAGTTTGACATTTTTTTTTACTTCGGAACTAGGATTCCCATTCTTAGTTTATTTTTCAAAGTTATTATTTTTCCTAAAATAATTAAATGGTATTCTTTGCAAACTGTTTGCCAGTTGGTTTGTGTGTACCTACAAAATCTTTTAACATTTGCACTTAAACTTCAAACAAACACAATTAAATATTTTTCTTATTAAAATCCAGTCTGTCTAGGTGGAGCAACATTAAAAAAATTAAAAGGAAATAATTGTTATTAATTAAGGATTCTAATATTGTAACTAAGTGTAAAAAAGAATTAAAGAGTAACACCATACAAAATTATGATACCATTAATTTATTTCAAGTACCGAAAGTACTGAGATGTTGCTATGCAAAACTGGTTCTGTTCAGATATCAAAAGAACCAGGAATTCCCAGGTGCTAGACTTAGCTGTGGCGAAATATCAAAAATACATACATACATAATACATAAACTCACACGCTTGTCACCCAGAGGGGTAGGCAGAGGACTACAGAGTAACATTTGGCACAAATCTCTCTCAAAAGCACAAAAATGTCTTGATTTTTGGCCAAAAACTTCTCTGCGATCATGCGCATGGAAAAGAATTGATCTATACATCCCATTCCCTTTCTAAATGCCGCTTGCACATCCCAAATTTTTTCATCAGTTTCTTTCACGACACTTTCAATTAGT